ACTTCAACATTGAATCAATAAAGTTCTGAACTTTCAAGCATTTAGATGGAAAGAAAATCAGTTTCACGTTGTATTAATCAAAGGACAATCCCTTGCCTCAATGAATCTAGCATCTAATCAAATCACTCCAATCCCTTAGATCTAATCCAATCAAATGCTGCATTAAGTTTGAGAAACCAAAAGATTACAAGATTAAGATATCTTATCCCTAACAAACCAATAACCTTGGTAATTAATTCAGATCTGAGAAACAAATTCAATTCCCATTGATAAGAGTTCCTCTATGATTAGTTGATCAAATTTCCATTCAATCACTACATTAACAGCAGGATCAATCACTCAATCCAATCCAAAACTCAAAGTTCAGATCCAAAATCAATTCAACATTTCAATTTCAGATTCACAGTTCCTAACCACAAAGAGTTTAAGCAAACATTACAAAAAGAGAAGAGAAGAGAAGAGGTGAAGAGAATAAACAAAGAAGAAACATCTTCAAGCCAATCTCCAATCTGATCCCTCAAGAAATGAAGCTTGGTGTTCGTCCTCAATCTCCCTCTCTGACTCTCTCAACAACAAAAATAAATGTAAAATGAAAAATGAACAAAAAACTCCAAAATTCCTGAGCTAACTGCCTTTTATAGAATTCCCGCTCTGCTGGCGTAATCACTTTTTCCAGCAATAGTAATCACGCAGAGGCTAATTCTTCATTTCCACTTGCGCGTGTTCACTTTTGCTAGTGATAGTAGCCACGCACACTTCAAAGTGTTCACTTTTGTTGAAAATAGTAGCCACGCAGAAGCTTCCTTTGCTAATGTCATGCGCGTGTTCACTTCTGCTGGAAATAGTGAACACGCAGAAGCTGCTTTCTTGCGCGTGCTCACTTTTGCTGGTAATAGTGAACACGCGCAGCTACTCTTCTTGGAGGACTCTCTGGAACGCTCACTTTTTCCAGAAAAAGTGATTATGCAGAAGCTCTTCTCATTGCAACCTCTCTGGAACGATCACTTTTGCCAGCAAAAGTGATTACGCAGAAGCTCTTTTCCATTTTATGGTTCTGGAGTGATCACTTTCACCAGCGAAAGTAATCACTCAGAGGTTGTTCTTCAATTATCAACTTCTTTCCTCCAATTTTTGCTACTTTTCTTCTATTTTTCCTTTGATCATCCAATCCTCATGAACTTAGCTCAGAATTCCCTACAAAAGCATACTTGAAATGTCACTTTTTACATAGAAAATCAATGAATTTTAAAATAACTATGTTTAAAAGTGACATGCAACATTTTATTATTTTTTTAAGGGTTTTCTACTATTTCTAGCATGTTTTGTTTATTAATTGCACTAAAAACTATTGTAAAATACTAGTAAAATATGGATTCATCAATTTGCTGATTTCTTTTTATTTCTTTTTCATTTTTCTATTTTTACTTGCAGCTTTTTACTTCTTTTTCATATTTTCTCTGCATGACTTTTTCTAACTTTCTTAATTCATTATAATCCTTTTCTCAATCCTTTCTATCCCAAACTTAGAACATTGCTTGTCCTCAAGTAATGCACTAGGAACATGATGTTACCCCAAACTTAGTTTTAAAACTTATCTTTGATTCAACTCAATTTGCCTCTTTTCTATTTGAATAGGTAAAATGGTTTTTCTAGAAAAGCTTGTATTGAGGTTAGTCAAAGAAAGGCTATCAGCTCAAAGGGGCTAACTAGGACATTCAAGAATGAAAGGCAGTCTATTTGGCTCACTAGGTAAATCTGAATAATGGCCTCCATCCTTTACGTGATTAGTGCAAAACAACATATTCAGTTAAGAAACAAAGCAAGTTCTAGAGAGTGAATCAGAATTTGAGATCAGTCACACATCAATGAATGAAAAGGTTCAAGTCTCACTAAGGAAGTAAATGGATAATATTCATCAATTCAGTTCACTATTTACTTCAAAAATTTGCATGAATAAAATGGCAAGACTGCTTTATTTTTTTAAAATACAAGTATGACAATCATGTTAAGAATGAGAAAAACAACTTATGTAATTCAACAATCAGAATTTCAATCAGGTGAAAATCAGGTTTATTTATCAAGAAAACAAAATCTAATGCAGTTTAATATTTTTCTAACTTGTGAAAATTTTATGCAAAATGTAAGCTGTACACATGAAAATAGAGGTACAGAATTAAACCCCCCCCTTTCATGGTAGCTGTGCATATTTCAATCATTCCATGCGCTCCTTGTTCAGAGTTTGAGAGCATGGTCTGCACAAAAACATCACAAGTTGTTCATCAATTATCAGATAAAAAAAAAACTCAATAAAATTCAAAGCTAGTAGATATTTAAAACATAATTGTTCATAACCAAAATAAAACTAAAATGTAATTACAACACTCAAAAGTCTGAAATTCTAATTACAATCTTTTTACAAAAATTAAACTAATGACAGAAATTTAAATTCCTAATCTACTCTTCATCTTCATCCTCATCCTCATCTTCCAAATCATCCTCTTCATCATCATCTTCTTCTTCTGCAGCAGCTGCTGGTGGAGGGAAATGAGTTCTGTAGATGGGGAGGTCTTTGAAGACAGTTGACCTCAGGCATTGGGCATTCTCTGCTTGAACTGGAGTGTAGTATAAGTCTTCTTTGGTCATGCCCATCTTTTGACCAATGTTCATGAGAACACCTTCCAGAAGCATGATGCCAGCCTTCAAACTGCTGTGCAATTCATTCTGCTTCTCAGCTAAAGAGTTTTGTCTTTCAGCCATGAAGGCTATCTTTTCCTTCATTGTGGTTGGATTCTCTCTTTTATACTGGGAGGGAATTGGGGCTGCTGATGTGCAAGAGACAGTACCATAAATTTCCTTCACCATAGCTACTGTAATTGGAGGTGCAGCTCTAATTTTGATTTGATAATCTCCAATTTCAATACCTGCATCCTCACAAAGAACAGTTATTAAAGAAGGGAAAGCTAGAGAATCTCTTTTTCTCTTGAGGATGTCCAGAATGCATCCACTAATCACTTCTCCTACATCTATATAAAAATCGTTAACTATAGCATATAGGAGTTCAGCTCTTTTCACTGCTAAAGTGGAGCTATGCCTAACAGGCATGAATGAACTCAAAATAAAGGTGCTCCACACTTTTGCAAAGGGCAAAAGGTTCTTGGTTGTGATGCATTTGGGCTTTTCTGATAGATTCAGCTCCCAAGTAGTCCCTGGTTTCCCAATCCTCTCAAGGACTTGAACATAGTCCTTGTCTTCAGCATCCCTGAATGCTTTAAAGTCTTGCTGCCCAGGTTGCTTTTGAGTCTTAATGTTGAGGACTCTATTGATGTTAGCAGCAGAAAAATCAACTGTTGTCGCCTTGACCATTGAATGGTATTTAGGCAGCTGATCTTCCTTGAATCTCATGGCATTAGCATAAAATTCTTGTGTAATGTCTCTCTACCCAATGCCAGCCATCATGCAGAAGGATTCCCATTCTCTTTTCTGAATTTCCTCCTTGTATTCTGGATAATAGTCTTCAGCTATCTCAATTGCCCTATCTTGGACAATCTTTCTTCTCAAGATATTAGCTCTGAAATAATTCTCATGAGCTATACTCCTGAACCTTGGATCATGTTGAGGATTTGGCCTTGATGAAGAGGCTCCTACTAATCTTCCTCTCTTTGTTCTAGGAGTACCTCTAGAAGAGCCAACTGAAGTGTTGTTTGATGTCCTTACCATTTTTTTTTTTAAATTTCCTGCATAAAAAGAATATTTCAATACACTGAAAGGTAAGAATGCAATGCAATGCAGGACATTTTCAATTTCAGAATAGCAGAATATGAATAATGCAGAATTTAAGAATATCATAACAATGCAGAATATGGTTCCTTGAAGCATTTAAACTCAGATATTCATGCTTTTGAATGCAAAATGCTAGAGTTCAAGAGTTACATTTATGCAGAAATTTCTTCCTAACTATTTTTCACTTTAAGTCCTAAGGTTAACTCATGCAATATGTCAATGTAGGTCTTTTTCCATCTAAAAATCTATCAATTGAAGTGAGAATTACTCTACATTGCCTTGTAATTGCATGTTCAGATTAGTTATTAACAAGAAAATTTCTATTTTTCCATTACTCAGTGTTTTCCCCAATTCTGCAAAATGAAGAACCCTAATTTCTAAATCAGAGAAGTAGAATACTGACCTGGATTTGGAGAAAGGTGCAGAATGAACTTCAATTGATTGCTTAGAAACAAATTTCGTTCAACAAAAGGTCAGAAAGATCAAGAATTTGAGAAATGAGATGAAAAAATGAAGATTTGAGATTCTGAAAATGGCTCTGCGTGGTTCCTTTTATGCATTTTAATGGACACGCTTACTGCACGTGGCCACTTTTTTTAGAAAAAATGGAAGTTGTAGAGATGATACTGTGTGCGTGTTCACTTTTTCTGGCAAAAGTGAACACTTTGAGGTTAAATAGCATGTGCGTGTTCACTATTGCTAGAAATAGTGAACGTTCCAGAGGGCTTTGCATTGAGTAATTTGAAATGAGCTGCGCGTGTTCACTTTTTCCAGAAAAAGTGATCACACGCAGGTAATATCCTTCTGCGTGATTACTATTACTAGAAAAAGTGGTAATGCGCATCAACTTTAACTTCAAGCTACACATAACTCATGCGCGTGATCACTATTATTAGAAAAAGTAATTACACGCATCACATTACCTCTATTTAAGCCTGGGCGTGGTTACTTTCACTGGGAAAAGTGATTGTTCCAGAGAAGGGTGTCTTCCAAAGGGTTCTGCATGTTCACTTTCATAAGCAAAAGTGATTGTTCCAGAGAAGGGTGTCGTTCCTTGCTCCTCTGCGTGATCACTTTCATCAGTAAAAGTGATTGTTCAGAATGGAACCCTGTAATTGAAGCTCTGCGTGATCACTTTTCTGCAAATTAGTGACTCTTTTTGTTATTCAAAGCTCCTTAGAAACTTAATTGCCTCATGCATTCAATTTCAATCTTCTCATTTATGCATCCACAACATGAGCCTTCATTGAATCAACACAGTATTCCTAAAACACATATAAAACAGAATCTAAAATCAGAAAATTGCTAAAATTGAAATAAAGAATTAACAAAAGTTTAAGTAAATTGCAAATAGAGTAAAAATGGTTCAGAAATGTGAGTTGCCTCTCACAAAGCGCTCTTTTAACGTCACTAGCTTGACGTTAAATGTTCCTCACTGCTGAGAAACCAAGTTAATGCAAAAAGTGTTCCTATTGAATTCTCCTCCATTGTAAATCTTCAGTCTTTGGCCATTGACTTTAAAATCTCTCCCTTCTCTTTGATCTTCAAGTAACACAGCACCAAAGGGAGATACTTCTTTTACCATAAAAGGTCCTGACCATCTAGACTTGAGTTTTCCAGGAAACAACTTCAATCTAGAATTGAATAGTAAAACTAACTGCCCTGGTCTGAATTCTCTCTGTAAGATGAATTTGTCATGTATTCTTTTAGTCCTTTCTTTATACAGTTTTGCATTTTCATATGCAATTTGTCTGAATTCCTCCAGTTCATGTAGCTGTAACACTCTCTTTTCTCTAGCCTTGATTGAATCAAAATTCAGCCATTTAGTAGCCCAATATGCTCTATGTTCAAGTTCCACAGGAAGATGACATGATTTCCCAAACACTAATTGATATGGTGACATACCAATTGGTGTTTTGAATGCAGTTCTGTATGCCCATAATGTATCATCAAGCTTCCTTGACCAATCTTTTCTTGAGTTACTGACTACTTTCTCTAATATCTTCTTGATTTCTCTGTTTGAAATTTTCACTTGTGCGCTTGTTTGAGGATGATAAGGAGTTGCTACTTTGTGTTTTACTTCATACTTATCCAGAACATTATCAAGGTATTTATTGCAGAAGTGTGATCCTCTATCACTAATCAGAATTCTTGGCACTCCAAATCTTGAAAAAATGTTTTTCTTTATGAAGGAAATCACCACTTTGGCTTCGTTTGTTTTGGTTGGTATAGCTTCCACCCATTTAGACATATAATCCACTGCCACAAGTATGTATTCATGAGAAAAAGAAGTTGGAAAGGGTCCCATAAAGTCTATTCCCCATACATCAAACAGTTCCACCTCCAAGATATTGTTCAAAGGCATCTCATGTCTTCTGGAAATGTTACCAACTCTTTGGCATTTATCATAGTTTTCTACATAAATTTTTGTATCTCTGAACAATGTAGGCCAGAAAAATCCAGCTTGTAATACTTTGGCAGCTGTTCTTGATCCACCATGATGGCCTCCATAATTTGAATTGTGGCAATGCCATAGGATATTAGCTTGTTCTTTCTGTGAAATACATCTTCTCAAAATGCCATCTACTCCAATCACCTTGAATTCTCTCCCATCCTTGGGATCTGCTATCAGTACAGCACCATAGGGTGATACCTCTTCCACCACAAAAGGTCTAGACCACTTAGATTTTAATTTCCTTAGAAACAACCTCAATCTTGAATTGAAAAGTAAAAGAGATTGTCCAGGTTCAATTCCCCTTTTCAAAATAAATCTGTCATGCAACTTCTTGGTCCTTTCCTTGTATAATTTGGTATTTTCATAAGCATTGAGTCTGAACTCCTCTAACTCATGCAGCTGCAACAGTCTCTTTTCTCCTACACTAGCTTGGTCAAAATTCAACCATTTCACAGCCCAAAAAGCTTTATGTTCAAGTTCCACTGGTAAGTGGCAAGCCTTTCCATACATCAGCTGATAAGGAGACATTCCAATTGGTGTCTTGAAAGCAGTCCTATATGCCCACAAAGCATCATCCACTTTCTTAGACTAGTCCTTCCTTGAAGTACTTACCACTTTCTCTAAAATCTGCTTTATTTCCCTGTTGGAAATCTCTACTTGGCCACTTGTTTGAGGGTGGTAGGGTGTACCTATTCTATGCTTGACTCCATACTTTTCTAGGACTGATTCCAAGTACTTGTTGCAGAAATGGCTTCCTCCATCACTTATCAAAATTTTGGGCACTCCAAACCTTGAGAAGATGTTCTTTTTGATAAATGAAACAACAGTTCTTGCATCTTTGACTTGGTAGGAACTGCTTCCACCCATTTGGACACATAGACCACTGCTACTAACATATATTCATTTAAAAATGAGCTAGGGAAAGGACCTATGAAGTCTATTCCCTACATGTCAAATAGCTCTACCTCAAGTATGTTTTGCAGTGGCATCTCATGTTTCTTAGAAATATTTCCCATTCTCTGGCATCTATAACATTTTTCCACATAGTTCTTGGCATCTCTGAACAATGTTGCCCAGAACAGGCCAGATTGTTGAACTTTGGTTGCTGTCCTTGAGCTTCTATGGTGTCCTCCATATTCTGAACTATGACAATGCCACAAAACATTTTCTTGCACTTCCTCTGGTATGCACCTTCTCAACAGCCCATCTACTCCAATTTTAAACAGCAATGGATCTTCCCACACATAATATTTGCTGTCATGAAAAAAAAAATTTCTTTGCTGTAAACTCATCCAATTTGGAACATGATATGTAGCCTTAGAGTTGGCCATGTCAGCAAATGATGGCTATGATTCAATCCTGAATATGTTCTCATTTGGGAACTCTTCTTTTATATGCTCTACCACAAATGGTATGATCTCAAGTGGTAGTCTTGACAAGTGATCAACAACTCCATTCTCCTTCCCTTTATTGTCTTTGATCTGCAACTCGAATTCTTAAAGGAGTAAAATCCACCTTAATAATCTGGGTTTAGCATCCTGTTTTGACAAAAGATACTTAGGAGCAGCATGGTCAGTGTACACTATAACCTTGGATCTTATCAAATAAGACCGAAACTTGTCAAATGCAAATACTATAGCTAGGAGTTCTTTTTATGTAGTAGTGTAGTTAATTTGTGTAGTGTTAAGAACTCTACTAGCATAATGAATAACATGCAGTTTCTTGTCTTTTCTTTGGCCTAAAATTGCTCCTATAACGCACCAGGTAGGCACCAAGGTGTGGTAAGAGGCACCCAAGTGGGCACCAAGGTGTGGCAAGAGGCACCAGGTAGGCACCAAGGTGTGGCAAGAGGCACCCAAGTGAGCACCAAGGTGTGGCAAGAGGCACCCAAGTGGGCACTAAGGTGTGGCAAGAGGCACCAAGTAGGCACCAAGGTGTGGCAAGAGGCACCCAAGTAGGCACCAAGGTGTTGTAAGAGGCACCAAGTGGGCACAAGGTGGGCATCAAGGTGGGCATCAAGGGGAACCAAGGTGGGCATCAAGGGGCACTATAGTGGGCATCAAGGTGGGCATCAAGGTGCACCAAGAGGCACCAAAGCGAACCAAGGTGGGCATCAAGGTGCACCAAGGTGGGCATCAAGGGGCGCCATGGTAAGCATCAAGGGGCATCAAGGGGAAACAATGGTGGGCATCAAGGTGCAACAAGAGGCACATAGGTGCACCAAGGCATATCAAGGTGGGCATCAAGGGGCACCATGTTGGGCATCAAGGTCCAACAAGAGGCACCAAGGTGCACCAAGGCATATCAAGGTGGGCATCAAGGTGCACTAAGGCATATCAAGGTGGGCATCAAGGTCCAACAAGAGGCGCCAAGAGGGCACCACGGTGCCGCAAAACGCACCAAGAGGGCACCAGGGTGCGTAGAAACGCACCAAGTAGGCACCAGGGTGCAGAATGGTGGGCATCAAGAGGCACCAAGGTGGGCATCAAGAGGCACCGTGGTGGGCATCAAAAGGCACTATAGTGGGCATCAAGAGGCACCAAGGGGCACCAAGAGGCACCAAGGTGCACCAAGGCATATCAAGGTGGGCATCAAGGGGGCACCAAGAGGCACTAAGGTGCACCAAGGCATATCAAGGTAGGCATCAAGGGCCACCATGGTGGGCATCAAGGTGCAACAAGAGGCACCAAGGTGCACCAAGGCATATCAAGGTAGCCTTCAAGGGCCACCATGGTGGGCATCAAGGTCCAACAAGAGGCACCAAGGTGCACCGAGGCATATCAAGGTGGGAATCAAGGTGCACCAAGGCATATCAAGGTGGGGATCAAGTAAAGCACACCAAGATGGGCACCAATAGTGCATCAAAGCTTGCGGGTGTCTTAATATTTCTTCATAAAACAACTCCTCACACTCCCAAGTGGCATTGGAAAAGTTTGGGGTCAAAAGCAATTCATCTTCTATATTTCCATTTTGGAGAAAAATTCATTATAAATCATTTCCTCAAAGAAATATAACAAAAATTTGTATAAACATTTAGTGTTATTTTGTGTGAATGCCTGCAAAAAATCAGGTCAAAATTCGATCTCTAGGTGCCTTTTTCTATTTTCCCCAGTTTTTCATAATTTGTCGATTCAAAAATTCATAAAAAATTCATCCTTGGAGAAAAATTCTAAAACTTTGTGGACGCGAATACATTGTGTTTTTAAGCCTCCCTACAAAAAACCACGTAAAAATTCGATCTCTAGGTTCTGATATGGACTTATGTCTGCTCAGAAAAAAGGTATCTACAACTACAATTTTGGCTTTTGCATAATAACCTATTATAAGGGGGGGCTGCACCTCACCAACCACGCCCACAGTGGGAGGTGCGGTGCTGCCTTGGGGCCTCTCCCCCATGCTCATGCAAGTCTTACCTCACTTGTGTGGCTTGTTTTGCCATGGCATTGGATTGATTGATTCATCAATTATCCAAAAATCGAATGTTGGCCGATTTCGGCTGAGTCTCGGTGCGTCCCTCAGAAATTTGTGGGCATCATGGCGTGGCTTATTCTTACATCAACGATGCATGGGCAGGGTCTATCGGGTGCATTTTCCTTTGTCCCTCTCGATTTAATGGATGCCACTCGGTTCGGTGTCTTGCATGTGATGATAGGGATGGGCAAGGTGATGCCTCAGGCATTATCGAACCTACCCTTGAATATGTGTTTGGCTGGTGTTTTGCCGCACCCGATCTCAATGACATCTATTAAAATCCCCGACTCTGCG